AGCAGAGTGCCCTCCCCTCACACGTTCGTGCCAACCTTCTGTCCCCACCACCAGTCCTGCTACACTCTGTCAACCCTGTCACCCATTGAACTCCACAGTTAGCTCCTAAGCTCTTGGCCTCGGTGTCATGTTTGATAGTAATCTTTCCTGTCCCCAGTCACGGCCAGGGCTTGTCCCGTGGTGCCCTCGCTGTCTGAGTTGCCACACCAGCCAGCTCAGAACTCCTATTGCTTCTCTGCCTTTTGGCTATGACCACTGAGGAGCAGCACTCGTTTCTCTGTTGATCCAGCCTTGCACCCCGTGCACACAGCGATGGCTGATGCTTCCCTAGCCCAGTGTGATCTCCATGCCCGCATCTGCTTCTATGTCAGTTATAATAAACATCTGCTTTTATTTTGTTTTGCTTTTGAGATAGAAGCTTGCCATGTTCCCAACACTAGCCTTGAATTTGCAATCCTCCTGCCTCAACCCTCTGTCCCCCAAGTACTGCAACTACGGGTGTGTGCCATAAACACTTGCCTGAATTAACTGATTGGTTGAGGAATTAAATTCAGTGTTATGAATGTTCTACCTGGCAAGTACATAAAAAATACAAAAAGAAACTTTTAAAATTTATTTTCTAAATAAATTCATAAAGGAAGGCTTAGTCATCTGTTAAATTTAGTTAGGTAAATCTACCCCCATTCAACAAAATTGCTGAATAAATTGTGTTAGGATAGTTAAATTATTTATGATTTAAAATTTGTAAACAACAAATCAAGATGCTGCTAAGACATTCTTCCAGCCTTCTATTAAACATGGTGAAAAATAGGGAAAAAATCTACTGATAGTTACACCAAATCCACAAAAACCACCCAGTGAAATCCTAACCTCCTTACTATGCCTTTTACTAGTGCTGTTACATTTTTTAAGTGTTTTTTCTCTCTTCTATCTTCCTTTGACAAGGAAAAAAATGGGAAGAAGATAGACCATAAAAGCTAGAGCTTGGTTCTCGCACAGAACCTAAACGTATATAGGTATTAGGACAAAATGGCTTTATTTGGAGTTTCTGGAAAAATTCAGAAGAGCTGACCACAATGTCATAGTAATTGTCGGCATGAATGATGAGGGGAAAGCTCTGTTGCAACAGTGATCTCCTTTAAGACGGTCTCCTAGACAAAGGCGCTTTCCTTCCATAAAGCCAAAGCTGGCAGAGTTCACAGTGAAATCATAATTGCAAGACTTTACAATAAAGAAGTTTTTTAAAAAAAAAAAAAAGAGGAAAGAACCTGCTAGATCTACAGAAAAACTTGCACACAAATGATTATAGCAGCATTATTCATGAAAGATAGTGAGGAAATACTTCAACTATCTATCAACTGATAGATACTAAGGAAAAAAGTTATATGCACACAATAGAATATAACTGGGTAATGAAAAGGAATAATGTACTGTTTTAAGTTACAACATAGGGTAAACCCTATTAGCATTAATTGAAAAACGTCAATGCATCATTTCATTTATATACAATTGTCTACAATAGGTAAATCTATATAGGCATAAGTGGATTAGTGGCTGCTTAGGGGAGAGGGTATGTGATTTTTTTTTATCTGAGGTGATGAAAATGACCTAAAATTGACTTTTTGAAGTCAGTACCCAAAAATCAATAGCATTCCTCTACACAGATAGCAAACACACTGAGAGAGAAATTAGAGAAACAATTTACAGTAGCACCCAAAAATGAAATACCTAGGTACTAATCTAACAAAAGAAGTCAAAGATTTATTCAGTGAAAATTACAGTACTCTGAAAAAAGAGATCAAAGAGGATTTCAAAAAATGGAAAGATATTCCTTGCTCCTGGATAGGAAGAACAAACATTGTAAAAATGGCCATACTTCCAAAATTGTTATACAGATTTAATGCAATCCCTATCAACATGCCACCAACATAACTCACAGATCCAGAGAAATCATTCCTAAAATTTACATGGAACTAGGAAAGACCTAGAGTAGCAAAGGCAATGCTGGGCACCAAAAGAAAGGCAGGAAGCATTACAATCCCTGAACTTGAAATTATACTACAAAGCTACTATGATAAAATCAGCATAGTACTGGCAAAAAAAATAGACTCAAATGATCAGTGGAACAGGTTAGAAGATGGAGAAACAACTGCAAACACACTCGGTCATCTTATTTTGACAAATTAGCCAAACATGTTCACTGGAAGAAAGATAGCCTCTTTAAAAAATGGTGCTGGAAAAACTGGCTCTCCACATGCCAAAAACTAAAACTAGACCCGGTTCTGTCACCATTCACTAGACTAAAGTAAAAATGCATTAAAGATATACATATTAAAACAGAAACACTAAATCTACTGGAAGAGAAAGTAGGTGAAAATCTTGGAAGATATAGGGGTAGGCAAACATTTCTTGAACAAAAATCAAACTACATGGGAAATACTTGAAAGGAACAACAACTAAACATCCTCTTATTGAGAAGTTGCTGCATGTCAAAAGAAATTACCAACAGAGTGAAAAGACAACCCACAAAGTTGGAAAAAATCTTAACCAATAGTCACTCAGTCAAAGGTCCTCTATCTAGAATATATAAAGAACAAAAAAACTAATTAGGACCCCAAACTTTAAATACCCGATCTAAAAATGGGCCTCTGAGATAAATACACACTTCTCAGAGGAAGAAATACAAGAGGCAAATAAATACCTCAAAAAATGCTCCACATCACTGGCCATTTGAGAAATGAAAATTAAAACAATATTGAGATACCATCTCACCCCAGAAAGAATGGCTAACATAAAGAAATCAACTAAAAACAAATACTGAAGAGGCTATGGGGAAAAAGGAACCCTTTTCCACTGCTGGTAGGAATACAGGCTGGTACAACCATTATGGAAATCAGTGTGGAGTCTCCTTAAAAAACTAGGATTGGAAATCCCATTCAAGTCAGCTATTCCCCTTCTGAGAATTTTCTCAAAAGAACTGAAAACATCATATCATAGTGATATATGTGCACCTATGTTTATAACAGCATAATTTGTCATAGCCAAATCTTGGAAGCAACCCAAATGCCCTTCATCTGAGGAACGGATGAAAAGATGTGATATCTTTATACAATGGAGCATTGCTCAGCTATAAAGAAAAACTAGAAGCCTTCATAGGTATGTGGATGCAACTTGAGGCTATACTCATAAGTGAAATCAACCAGACCCACATGTGTGAATATCATATTGTCTCCCTAGTATAAGAACCCCAAAGAGGAAATAAAACCTGAAAAGTATAACATATACAGTTACACAGGAAGAAACAGAATTTGAAAATTAAACGACAAAGAGGAGAGAAAGGAGAAAAGATAAGAAAAATGGTAGGGGAAAATACGCAAGTATATATACAAGATAGATAAGGTGATAGTATTAAGAATTTCCATCAGTTTTATGAAAACAGCAGTTAATATGTAGAAGTCTCACCTTGACTAATTCTATATGCAGATAACAGCAAACTAATCAACTACATTGAGAATGGCAATGTGTAATACAAAAACTATGCTTGAAATACCTGTCATCATGATCTTCTAAATTTGTACCATTTCTAATGTCATATCAATTATTACTATACTCTCTTTAAAGTATTTTTTAGAAAAAGGTAATAAAAGAAAAAGAGAGAGAAGTACAAAATTTAAGATTTCTTGAAAGTATGTGGTAATATGCAATCATATGCCCCATCTTGCTTAACTATCAGATTTGACTATAAAAATAGATAATATATCATTCATTGTTAATCAGCTATTCTTATTTCAAAAATCTATAACATATGTATTGTTATATGTTACCCTGTTTAGGTATTTGTTTTTGTTTTTCTTGCTTTTGCTTTTACTCTTCAAAATAAAAAAAAAATTATAATAAGAAAAGTAAAGTAAAGAAAAAAATAAAATTGACTTTTGAAACACAAAACAAATACAATGGTAAAAGTATAAAATGCAAGAATCTTCTGGTAGGGAAAGAATTACTGAGATGAGGAGAAGGACAAGAGAGGGAGTGGGGTAAAGAGATATATCTATGTTTATAAGCAGGATGGTTTGGACAACTGTACTGTGCATTTCTGCTGGTCTATGGAAAGGAGCAGTTAATCCTTAATTTTCTTTGTCTTCTTTTTTCCTTTTTTTCCTCTCCTTACTTTCTCATATTTGTTTTCTTCTTCCAATTTCACATGCATATATCTGCTAATATGAACAACTAATCTGAAGACAACACTATGCAATACAACAAATACTGTGAAATTCATATTATTTTATTTAGTGAAATTCTATATCATTTGTAATTTTTCTGTTTTAATGCTACTTTTTATTCTCTTAAAAAAAAGAATCTTCTGGAACTGATACTAAAGCCTGACTTGTCTGTGGTTTTTCCAATGATTTGGAGGTCTGTACAGCATCTCTTTGTTTTTACATGATATTTTCCAAGTAAGGAAAAGATGGATCAATGGAAAGAGAAGCAAGAAATATATTTCAGGAAAATGACTGAACTAAATCAGTGCATTAAAAAGGTCCATCATATGACATCTTAAATTCAGTAGCTTACTTACTCAACAGAAAGAAACAGGAAGGAAAAAGGAAAGGAGGAAGGGAGGAAGAGAGGGAGGGAAGGAGGAAGGAAGGAAGGAAGGAAGGAAGGAAGGAAGGAAGGAAGGAAGGAAGGAAGGAAGGAAGGAAACTAGTGTATACTTTGTTCTTCCAATGGTTGGGTATGTACCCCTATCCTTTCCTGTGGATATATATTATTTTGGGGAGTATATATTATTGTATCAGTCATGATGAATTGTAAAAAGAATATCTCAAGGTAGAAAAGTTCTTATTGTAGACAAAAATTTAGAATCACTGATAAATCATTTAAGAAATCTCTTTCAACTTAACTTTATATAATTACAACTTTATTGTTGATTTTTATGCTTATAGTATTCTAATATGCTACATCAATTCAAAGAATAAGTTAAATCAATTGATATTTACCTCCATTTTCTGACCTATTGTAGATTACAGTAGTTGATACATCATTTTCAGTCCATTTAACTGGAATATTCCATGTGTAACTAAAATTTTTAAAAAAGAAAAATTTAACTCTTATTATCAAATGATACAAATTCAAAAATCAAAAGCAAGAGACAATCATGTTTTCATTATAATTGACTATCGTGAACGTCATGCAACTAACACAGTTGGCACAATGCCTTTATAGCCCACGAAACTGCTCTCGGTTTCTCTAAATCTATAAAATACCAAAATCTGCATCAAAAAACAGCTAAGGCTGAGGGAAGTTATTCTGCAGGCTTTGACATAAAACTCTTGCATGAATTACATAACTGTAACACGTTATCATATTGAACATTTACATACACCAGTACTTGTTCCAACTCTTAGTGTGCTGTGGTTTTTATCAAGCATCACAAAACTGTTAGAATTCAAAAGGCAATCAATGAAATTCTGTGAAAGGCAGACACATTGAAATTATACCACCACAACTGTCTCCCAAGGAGCCCTGTACGGACCTCTAAACAAACCAGGAACGCCATGTGCAGAGAAGGAAATGTAAGATAAGTGCATTGAGGGGGTTCCACCTGTTCTTTTTGGCTACTCAGTAGTCTTTTTTTTTTTGTGGAACCGGGGGTTGAACTCAGGCCATTGTGCTTGCCAGGCAAGTGCTCATTCTACTGAGCTATCTCCCTGGCCCCTACTTAGTTGTCTTGAAAACTCAAAAAGATGGGAAATGCCTTTTTGATGGGTTGTTCTTACATTGTGTCATGTATTAGAACAGGCGATCTAGAGAGAAAGGAATCTCTGTGCCAACCACCGGGCTGAATTTCCATTAGCGCTGGTTGAGTCGTTAACATTCAATTCCTTATCGGAGAAATAGTGTTGGCATTTCTTCTTTTTAAGAAATAATGGAAGGAGCTGGAGAGATGGCTCAGTAGAATAAGTGCTTCCCTGGCAAGTGCAAGGGCCTAAGTTCAATCCCCAGTTCCGCAAAAAAAAAAAAAAAAAAAAAAAAAAAAAAAAAAAAAAAAAAAAAAAAAAAAAGAAAAGAAATAATGAAATTGATATCATTTGAGAAAATATTTTTGCTGTCAACATGAAAGAAGAAATCCTTTTTTTAAATAACTGTTGAAGGATTTTGCAGGATTTTTTTTAGCCAGTTCTTTTGGAGTTTAATTGCAGAGGAATGTTGAGGGATATAAGTTTCATAAAGCCAGTATATGGCGTAATTTGGGGGGACCTGTCCTGGACACTGGTGGTTGTCATCTTCATCTCTGTCGCTATTTTCCTCCTATACCCAGATGCTCATTCACATTCCTAAGAGCACCACCCCTGGTTAAGACCTCTGGGGGCCACTGCCCTCTGCCATGACCAGTGACTAGTGGCTGTCAGAACCCTCCTTGCATCAGGCAAGTCTGAAACCACCTTGCGGGGCTGCAGGGCTTACCGGCAGGCCTGAGCTCACAGCCCTCTCAGACCTGCTTCCTACAGCACCTGTGTGGCTGCCTTCCCCCACGTGGCTCCACCCCACAACACACCTCTGCTGGAAACCCTGCTAAGAAGCCACATTTCTGGCAGTGCTCGCCTCTGGCTCTACTCTTGGGGCAACCATCCCAAAACCCTTGCAGTTCCTTTGCAGGAATTTATTTATTTATTTATTTATTTATTATTTATTTATTTATTTATTGTGTGTGTGTGTGTGGCCAGCTCAGCCCACCAGGAGGCGGGGCTGGCTGGCATGTGGTGCTGGGGGATTGAACCGCAGTCCCTGTGCTTTGCTTGGCTTAGCTTGTCCTAAGTAGGTGCTTTAGACCACTGAGCCATCTCACCAGCCCCAGCAGTATTTATTTTTAATTCTTAGTGGTACATGTTTGCAGTAAATGGTTACTTCATTCCTTTGGGAGTTGCACATGTATGTAACACACCTTAATTCTTTTTTCTTTCACCCCATCCCCTCTCCAGCCAACATGTCCAATCTCTTGGTCACCCTCCCTTTCGCAAATGATCTATCTCCCTGGGTACCTTTGATTTTGTTCATTTATACTTTGGTTCCATATAAGAGAAGCCAGGCACTGCTTAAGCTCATGTGTCTGACTCATTGCTGTTAATGCTGTGGTCTCAAGGTGCATGGGTTCTTCTACAAATGACTCAAAGTACACTGTCGCCAGTGTACTTTCTGCATACACTGACATTGCCTTCTCCTTCATCTTTGCCAGGACCAGCCTGATGGAAGCCTGATGGCTGGTGGAGAGCTAAGTGCACAGTTGAGGTGTCAGATCTTGGCGGTCCCTGTGACACCATGGCAGCCAGGACTACAGCAGACAGGACTATGGTAGCCAGGAATACACACACGGTACTTGAAAATATTCTGAAGCTGTACTACTGTGGTCGGGTACAGAAATACTGCCCTGAGGCCTTTAAGACATCATGAGACAAAAGTGATAGGTTGAAGCTATATAATTTTGTGATTTTTTTTAACATTATAGGATTTAATCTTATATAAACTGAGTGAAATGATAGATTTGGGAATGTAAAATGTCAAGAAACGAAAACTGTACACATGAAATGATATCTTATTCTCTATGTTATCTAAAATTCAGGAGGACCTAAATTCATCTTTTAAGAGGCAATTTGTATTACATATGGCTGATATAATTTTCTCCAAGGAAACTGACTTTAACTGCCCCAGCATGGAACCCCTAGGCCCAGGGTGCTACCTGCTTACAGTGGATGGCTTGTCAAAGGCTTGAAAATTTGCCAGTAAAGAAATGCTCTAGGTAGAGAATGTAGCTGTGTTACAGTTGCTTGCCGAGGACGCAAGAGGCCCTGGATTTAATCCCATCTCTCAAACAAAAGTGTGCGTGCATACACACACACACACACACACACACACACACACAGAGTGGGAGGAGGGAGGGAGGGAGGAAGGGGGAGAGGGGGAGGGAGAGAGAGAGAGAGAGAGAGAGAGAGAGAGAGAGAGAGAGAGAGAGAGAGAGGAAAGGTAGTCATTCCAATGGAGATGCGAAGGAGAATGGTCCATTTATATGAGATGAGTGAGGTCATAGTACTAACCCTAAACTTTACTCCTAGGTGGGTCTTTTAATTATAGTTCTGGTGCATAAGTATTTCTAATTTCTGATCAAACAGTGAGACACAGAGAACATTTCAACTCAGGGTAACCTAGCTGGTCACACTATCTGCCACATGGAAAATATATGAACAGAGAGAAAGATTTCAAACCTTAAAACTTGGAAAGGAATCATTTTTGGGGGGATATTGAGATCATCTACTGTGACTTAGTTTTTTAAGTAAAATGAAAAATAAGGAAGGCTCACTTTTATAACCTTAACCTGTGCATCTTTCTTCTCTACTTAATTCTGGGTCTTTCTAAAACATGATAACAGGGCCGGCCAAATAGCTCAGCAGATTAAATCACCTGCAAGCAGGCTCAGGGACCAGGCGTTCTATCCTGGGGCCTGCTGGGGTGGCCACACCCTGCCCCTGGGGCACCTGAGAGAGCAATTAAGACAGGAGTGGTGGTGCATGCCTGTAATGTCAGCTCTTGAGAGGCTGTACACAGGTGCTTGGGAGGCTGCAAACAGGTGAATCACTATGAGTACAATCTAATAGTGAGATTCTAAACACCCTGTAGACCCTTCCCTAAAATACAAATATATATTTATATTTATATATAAAGAACCTATTTTCTGAACTTTCTTTTTTTATGTATTTAGTACAGGGTCTATGGGGTCCCATTACGTAGATCAGACTCACAGTGATCCTTCTGTTTTTCAGCCTCCCAGCTGCTGGGATTATAGGCACACACCACTAAACATTCATCATCTCAGCATCCCCTGGGGGTGGGGCCAGCATGGCACACTGGGGATGGAACCCTGGTCCCTGCATCTACCTAAGCAGGTGCTTTAATCCACTGAGCTATCTGGCCGGCCCTTCAACTTCCTCTTCTGAGTCATATGAAACTTTTTATCTTACAAAACTGGGATAAGTTGGGCCAGGGAGATAACTCAGTAGAATAAGTGCTTGCCTGGCAAGCACAGGGTCCTGAGTTCAATCCCTGGTACTGCAACAACAACAACAAGAACAAAAAACTGGGATAAGTATATTGACTTTATGATAAATGATCAATAAAAATCATGCTTCTATGAATGTGTATAAAATAAAAACCTCTGTTAATGAATAGAGGGATTTGTTCTAATGGTGTTTGTAAATAGGATCTCAAGTCCGCATCTTGTACAGCAATTAACCACTAGGAAGAATGTATATGCAATGTGTTAATTATTGAAACTGTCCTACCAATTTGGTTTGAAACTGTCTCATTGCTATTTGTTTCTCAATAAAATTATGGAAAAAAACATATCTGAGGGCAGAGCAATATTACAGTAAAATGTAAATGTAACTTAGCCCCATACTCTAGGTCTTAATAAATAAAATTTAAAGATTTGTTTTGTTTTTTTGCACTGGCAATTGAACTCAGGACCCTGTGCTTGCCAGGCAAGTGCTTATTCTACTGCGCTATCTCCCCAGCCCTAAAGATGTGGGGTTTTTGTTTGTTTGTTTGGTTGGTTTTTGTTTTTGTATTTTTCAAGGAAGGGCCTACAGGGTGTTCAGGGTTTCACTACTAGATCGGACTTGTAGTGATCCACCTGTTCACAGCCTCCCAAGAGCCATCACTCTTAGTCTCAATTGCCGGCTTAATGCCCCAGGGATGGGGCCAGCATGGCAGGCCTGGGGACTGAACCCCCAGCCTCTGCACCTGCTTGCATGCACTTTGATCCACTGAGCTATCTGGCCAGCTCTTAATAAAATTTAAAAATTTGTTGTTTACAAAGTGATCTTATAGTGATAATATACCTATTTTATTTAGAAATAAAATTGTGTGGAAAAGAATGCCTATTCAAACAATGGTTAAGTGTCCAACTCTTGAGACTCCAAATCAGTGTGGAAGGTTGGGGCTTCACCATTCTGTGGATGCATAGCACAGGAACAGACAGTAATGAAGAAACTTCCCCAGTGGAAACTTATCTTGCAAGAGTGATATTTTTCCTTTTTATTGTAATTGCTGAAGACTTTAGCAACATTAAGTAAGCCCCATCTACTTTGCTGTAGCATAAAACGGTAGCCATAAAAGAAGCAGTTTATAGTTATTCGCAGAATGCTCAGATGACTCCTGTGTGACTTTAGCAACTGAGTTAAAACCTGCAAGCAAGTCAGATCTACAATTCAATTCGTGCATGAGAAGAGGAATGAGCAAGAAGGCAAAGCCATCTTCTCTACCATAATCTTTCCCTTCTGAAAGAAAGACAGCATGGAGAAGTACACACACACCCTCCCCGAGCGCCCTCACACCGCTCAGGGTGCTCGCAGTTTCCTTTGCTCTGGTGTGAGCAGTTGATTTGGAAACTTGTGCAAGAGCAAGGGATCCAGCTTCCCTGGGCTTCATTTATGGGGGCAGAGCTGAGCACCAGAGGCTTCCCAGAGCCCAGGCTGCGGCGGAGTCGGGGTACACAGCCTTCATTCTCCACACTGCTCCAGCTGAACAGGAAGCAGGCTGTTACCCACTCACTCCTGAGTGACCCTCCTAAGGGGCTGTGCAGACTCTTCCTGCCTTCTCTAGAAATATGCCCTGCCTACCACCTGCAGGACAGAAATGAAGGGCTAAAGGGAGATTGTCCTCCACAAGTTCATCTGCCTGGATCTCTTGTAAATTGTTCAATTTTTAAATTAGAAAATCTGAGCTCTGCCCAAATCTCTGTAACATCATCACATTAACCAGCTCCTGGGCTCCACACAAACTGCCCCGATCTGCCCTCAGCACTGCAAGCAGGGAGAACCCTGACAAGTGCAAGCATGACCCCGACAGGTCCCCTCTTGAAATCCATGAACCTGCATACCTCTCTCCAAAATCTTTCCCGTGGTGCACACGTTGGCCCTGCCTCCTTGCACCCTCACTCTCAGCACTTTCCAGCAGCTCGGTGCTGTTCAGCTGCTAGAAGCCAGCTAGCCTGTGCTCAGAGCAAGCCTTTATGGTTCACTGTAGGCCATTTGAACCAGTGCCTTCATCACTCCTTACGTTACCCGTTCCTATAAATCACCTAACGTGCTTACCACCACGCAAACCACTTGGTCAGGGCTCACGCAGCACTGTGCATCCTATGTGCAAGGTGGCGCTCCTTCTAACCGCTGACCTTCCTGCACATTACCGCTCAAGTTTTTACGTCCAGGAGGGATACTAAATCCCACTCAGAATGTCTTCTGCAACCTTGCCCATGCTTCCTGCCCACACAAGGAACCCATGTGACAGGAGAGAGCAATTACTGAGCCGCTGTCCAAATAGAAACTTACTTCACAGAAAGGAAGTGATTTAGAATTTTAACATGTAAAGCTTCAGCAGTCCTAAAGCTGGCCAGGCTGATGTGTTAGGATATAAAACAGTAACTATAAGGAATCGATTTATTGCGACTGAACATTCCTGAAACACTTTCTGCACACCTGGAAATTCTCTTTTCTCATGTGATTCCAGTTGCTACTCATTGATAGTGTGGTAATTTACATATATAATTATGAGATAATGTCCATGAGACCATTAAGAAAGAGATAAAGAGGACATAGGGCCCCTTCAGCAAGAATCAGGCAGTGGATAAGGAGAGTCACCTAGAGAGAAATTGTTCTCTCAGGATTTCACAGAGAGCAAATTGGTCAAGCAATGGCCACGACTCATCCACATGGCTGACACTGACAAAGGATCTACAAACTGTGGCACAGGGTGTCAGGGTAAATCCTGAGGGGATTTGACTGAACTTGTCAGATAGAAAAGTTACAGTTTTTGCTGTATAAGTCTTGCTTTATCTTGGTCTTAACCATCCAGCAGAAAAGTATAAAAACGAGGTATAAAAAGTAAAGCCATATTAATATGCTGAGCTTTATGTAAAAGGCTCAAGTCAACAACTTCTGACATTGCCAGTCCTATGGATAAGCCAATACTATTATGGACTACTGAACTATATTGGATTATTTTGCTGAATTCACGCACCTACAATATCTAAATGGTAATGGAATGCCCATCTCTGACAAAACTAAACAAAAAGGGGGGATATAAATGAAGGACTATTTTGTATCTGTGTTTGCAGAATAGTTAGGTTAGATACACAGCAACTTTCTCATTAGTTCAATGAGAAGAAAGATTTGTACTGATAGTGTTTAGACAAGATACTATGCCTGCATCTTGTACTATGTATAAGTACTACAAAGACAACAATATGTAATGTATTAATTATTGTAACTGTCCTACTGACCAGTTTTGAAACTCTCATTGCTATTTCTTTCTCAATAAAATTAATTAAAAATCAAAAAAAAAAAAAAAAAAAGAATCAGGCAGTGGAGATGGGAGGACGCTGTAAGTAGGCATGAAGTTGTCTCCACCGAAGGAGGTACAGGGTCAAAAGTTGAAAGAGGGGACAACACAAATGGGGCACGAGTGAAGCTGAATGACGCCCAGGGTAACGGCTTAGGTCTAACCTGTCCCCCGGAAGTCTCGCGCTGGGCTTTTGGAAAGTGATTGGATCCTGGGGTACCAGAGTCATCTCTGGATTTATCCACTGCTGAGTTCATCACTGACCATGCTGCTGGAAGGTGGGCCTCTGTGGGAAGGGCGGCCCACTGGGGCGTGGCCTGGGAGGCTCCACCTCCTCGCCCTCCTCCCTTGTCTCTCTGCTACTGACTCGGAGGGGTGAGCAGCTTCTCCTCTACCAGGCCACTCCGCCCTACGTGGGCCAGCCACGGCCTGAGGCTGTGAGCCAAAATTAATCTCTGCTCCTCGGAGTTGTGGGTGTTGGACATCTTCCAGTGGTGGGCTGAGTGCGTGAACTGAGGTGACACTCTGCTGTCTTATTCCTTGATCTCTGAATAATCTCAGGAGTTTATTTTGTTTCCTCCATTATGCAACTTATAGTCAGGTCTTTTTTATTTTGTTTGTTCACACGCGATTTTAACCTCATCTGCTTATGTATTTTTCCTGTATTCTGTGATCCTTGGTGCTCCATTCATATTAAAGAGAAAAGAGCTTGCCAAGTGTGGTGGCACACACCTGCAGTCCTTAGCAAGAACTTCATTGACTTAGCAAGACCCTGTCTCAAAATAAGAAATAAAATAGGGACTGGGGATGTAGCTTAGTGTGAGGGCTCCGATTTCTATCTTCAGCACTGAAAAGAAAATATCCTAAGTTTATTTTCCTGGTCTCTCTACAACAGAGGAGGGCAGTGTGTTTTTGAGGCAGCCTCTCCACTGCCCAGGGCTGACCAGGAGTCCCAGCCCACTGGAGGCAGCTTCACTGTGGAAAACAGCACAGGAAGAAACCCTCAGCTCCCCTCTGCTGGTAGTACATGCAGGAGGAACCAAGCCCTCTGGATTTGTGCCTGGGGTCACTGCGAGTTTCTAGGGAGCTCTGCACAGAGAGGGGCATGGTAGCAGGAGAAGAGAAAGCACAGGGGCACTCGTGTCCCGTGTCTAGCAGTCACCTTAATTGCCCTATTGCAAGCACCTTCTCCCTCCTGGCAGCTGTTCCTCATGCTGCCCCTGAGCCCAGGCCTGGCCCGGCTTCTTCTTACTGCACCGCACCTCCCTCACCCTTTGCTGCCGCTCTTTGCTCTGTTTCCAGGATTCTGCAGCACATACAGCCCCTGCAGCTATTTTCTTTACTCTCCTACGTTCACTCCTTTAGTACTTCTATTCTATCCCTGTACCCAGAGGGAACAGGAAGAACAGACGAGGCTGGTACACAGTCCACCGTCAGGAACTGGGGACCACTCAGCTATTTGGGGACTGCGTGGTTCCCCTAAAGGCACTCGCTGTAACTTTGTACACACTTGAAAGCAGGTTCTAAGCAAATGACCAGCGTTTCTGCCATGATTCCACCTTTCTTTCAAAATGCACTGGAGAGCCTTACCCAAGATCTGAAGGTGGCTGGGACGGATCCGCTCTAGAGTCCAGCAGGAAGCGTTTCTGGGTGACAGTACTTTTGTTACTGACAGACAGCACAGGGTAGCCCATCTGGGACGTCCAGGTGTCCATCACCACTCTGATGGGCAGATTGCTGGCCTGATGTTAAAAAATTAGGGAGAGCAATTCATTTACAAATAAAGGGAACAACTAATTTGAAGACAACATTATATGATACAATAACCATTGTGAAATTGCTATTGATTTGTCTGGTGAAGTTCTGCAACATTTCTAATGATTTTGTTTTTTTTTTAATTTTTTATTAATTTTATTGAGAAACAAATAGCAATGAGACAGTTTCAAAACCAATTAGTAGGACAGTTACAATAATTAATATATTGCATATTGTTGTCCTTGTAGTGGTTATTCATAGTACAAGATGCAGATATGATAACCTGTCCAAACACTATTAGTACAAATCTTCCTTCTCATTGAATTAAGAGAAAGTAGCTGTATATATATCTTAACTATTTTGTATATACGGATACAAAATGGTCCTTCATTTGAATCCACTTTTATTTGTTTAGTTTTGTCAGAGAGGGGCATTCCATTGCCATTTAAATATAGTAGGTGTATGAATTCAGCAAAATATTCCAATATAGTCCAGTAGTCCATAATAGTAGTGGGTTATCCGTAGGACTTGTCAAGCAAAGTTGTTGACTTGAGCCATTTACAGCTCAGCTTATTAATATGGCTTTATTTTTATACCTCGTTTTTATACTTTTCTGCTGGATGGTTAAGACCAAGATAAAGCAAGACCTGTATAAGAAATATAAATTTGTATTTGACAAGGTCAGTCAAATCCCCTCAGGATTTTGATTTTATTTTTTGTTTCGCTTTTTTTTCTATTTTGTATTCTCTTTAGATAATAATAAAGAAAACAAATAAAGAGAAATAAAGGAATAGTCATAGAAAGATGTGGTTTATAAATCAAAGAAATCTTTAGGGTTACACTCTTTCTTACCTCTTCCAATGCTTCCCAAAAATCTGAAGTTTTTGCGTTCTTGAATTGGAATTTTTGCAAGTAAATCTGCATGTAAAATATAATAAGTATTTCAAAAATTAGTGTTGGCTTTTCTTATACTCAAGACAGCTGAATTCTGCCCCAGTGGCACAAAACCAGTTATGGATCACATGTAAATTAGTGAGAATGGCTGTCTTCCAATAAAATGTTATTTAGGCACACTGAATTGCATATAATTTCCATATGTTATAACATAATCTTCTTTTGATTTTTTTCAACAATTTTAAAATATAGATCCCTTTTCTGGGTCACAAACCTTAAAAAGAATGGAGAGTGGGCCAGATGTGGGCTACACTAATCTCTGCTCTAAGAAAATAAATATATAATCTCTCAAACAACAATAATGGTAATAATGGCGGAAGAGAAAATTACTTGCTCTACAGAATGAGTTTTCACTGTCCAAGTATTTTAAAAGTATCAATCTTTAAATAGAAAACTTCCCCTTTGGGCAGATCTGTTCACAAAACCCTGTATGGATAAGTTTTCTGCCATACTTAACATATTCCTGGAGGAAACCCTGGTCGCCCCCCAGTCCCCGGACCAGGCGCTGTGCCTCCATTCCTGCTGTAATAGAAGTTTACACCCAGATCAAAAGGCCGAAGGCTTAGACAGAAGCACAAGAACAGAATCTTCTCTTTCAGGCTCCTAGCGCTGCAGCCGAGCCCGAGGCCCTGGAGGGTGCTAGGTGAGGGCTCCACCGCTGCGCTACGCCCCACCTCCTTCTTAAATGTTCTCCATTGTTAACCTTCACGTTTCATTTACAATCTAACCTGGCATAACTTCCAGAAGACGCTGTACCCAAGTCACATGACTTTTAAAATTCTTCTTCATTCCACGCACAGAGAAAAAAAAGAAAATTCGCAGAACTCCAAGAACCCTGCAGGAGGGCTCACCTCGCTGCCTCCATGTTTGTTCTAGAGGTGCGTGCAGTTCTCAAGACTACCACCAGAGGGCAGGCAAAGGAAGGGAGAAGCCGCGAAGGATCTATCACTCTTAGGTGTTGCTCCCAGATTGTTTTGAGAACCAGCATATTTTAATTAAATAATTGGATGTGTAGTCTCTTAATCATATGTATGCGCTAATGACAGTTTATATTGAATAGTATCTTTTAAAATTAATTTAGAATACTTATTAGTATACTCACAAACTCTGTGATCGCCAGAGCCAGATGGATACTAATATTATTTACTACAAATCCCACATTTTTTAAATGAAGGAAGTGGCTCTTCCTGGTGCCACGGAGGTGAAGAGACCTGCTCGAGATTACTATGAGGAGAACCCTGAACCCTGGACCAGCGTGTCTGGTTTTCATCACGGTTGTTTTATAAATTGCAATTCACTAAATTCGTAAAATTGGATTTTACTGCTTCTCCTGAGCTACAGACCTTGTGGAAATTTATATAAACACTATAGCAAAAGGTTCTGATTTTATATTTTTAACTAGCACCTTTGAATATTCTACCTTAAGAAATTTTCTTCTTTTCTGTGAATAATTACAATGCCATCGTTCTGGCCAAAATGACATGAAAGCCGAGGCCACCAGCCCCCACAGCAGGACTGCAGAACCTGAAGGGCCAGGGACGCTGCATCCCAGGAAGAGAGAAGACCCATTCCCATTTAGCCCTTCCTGTGGTGGCAGCTGTGTTACGGGCACCGGAAGGAAAAGAAAGGACAGAGGTGTTTCCTAGTTTCTGTTTGATAGCCACACGTTGTGTTGATGTCCCTTTAATAAACTGCCTTATACACAGGATTTGGTGTAGACGATTTTTCTCTTCTTTCTCCCGCTGCGTACCTACTTGGCTGTCTGCTGTTGGATTTGGAGGAAGGCGATGAGGAAGAAAGAAAGAAGACAGCTGGCCCGGTCCAGGTTCATGGACCCCCAGACCAATTCATGGAGCGCTGCACTGCCCGGAAGTTAGAGTTTGCCAGGGAAATGGGACTCAGGGGCAGAGCGTGTGTGATCATGAGCTCAGGAGGGCGCCGTGTGTGCAGGAAGGCGCTGTGTGTGCAGGAAGGCACGGTGTGTGCAGGAGGGCGCCGTGTGTGCAGGAGGGCGCCGTGTGTG